TTAACGTATACGTGCTCTATTCGTGTGTGACGTCCTCGCTGTCCCCTACATCACAACGACATCGAGTCACGAGCGTGGCGCCCCCTACATCACAACGACATCGAGTCACGAGCGTGGCGCCCCCTACATCACAACAACATCGAGTCGGTCGGCTTATGTTTCCATGAACCAAAGTATGGTCGTGACGTACACTGCCGTCACGCACGAACTCGGCTATCTCCGAAGTTGAATGCATACAGCCTGCTGATGGTGCTGGTGGTTGCGTGCTACGCCCTACTCTCTAACCCTAACCCTAATGAAATTTAATTAACACTAATAAATTTAATTTAATTAAAAAAAAAATGTAATAAAAAACTGTCAGTAAATAAATCATGTAAATATTTGCGTTAATTGGGGAAAAATAGTTAAATGAATAAAAAAAAAATAATAAAAAAATAAACAAAATAAACAGATGAGATTCGAACCAACGACCTTCAGACGTAACGGTCGCCGGCGTACGAGCTCGGCTATTCAGCTTAACTAGAATAATATGTTATGGATGTGCCATGCATACATGGATGTGCGTGCGTGATTGGTCTATGGTGGTAGATAGCCACTGACGTCACGACCATACTTTGGTTCATGGAAACATATGCCCACCCATCGAGTCACGAGCGTGGCGCCTCCTACATCATAGCGACATCAAGCGTGGCGCCCCCTACATCACGGTGACGTCGAACCACAAGTGTGGCGCCCCCTACATCACAACGACATCGAGCCACGATCGTGGCGCCCCCTACATGACGGCGACCCCGGCCTCGCACCTGCCGGAGAGGTTTGCCGCAACGTCGAGCCACGATCGTGGCGCCCCCTACATGACGGCGACCCCGGCCTCGCACCTGCCGGAGAGGTTTGCCGGAACGTCGAGCCAGGATCGCGTGTGCGGGTCGAAGCATTCGACCGTGTCGACCGTCGTCGGGAAGGTGTATCCCTCGACGACGCTGCGTCCTCCTATCACGTAGACGAAGCCGTGGACGGCGGCGACGGAGGCGCCGGCGCGCGACGTTCCCATGTCCACGACGTCCTCCCACGCGTCCTACACGTAAGACACCATTATTAGCGCCCCCTAGTGAGAGGATCGACCGCGTTATCGACGATTCGCTTTACGCAAAAAACAAATGCACACCCACCGACACGGCCATTATCGTGAGCGGTGCAGAATCGCAGGAACTTGCGGAATCTGCCACGACACGAGTACACCGCGCACAGCAGGGGTGGGGACGATCATAGATATAGAATACAGATGTAGTCTATATATATATATATGGGACGATGCATCGATCGTATCGTGAAGGCTGTATCCGCGATACGGATCACATCGCGAGCTACCGGCATCGTGGTTCGCTCGTCGTCGTCGATCCCCCCGTTCGCTCTCTCTCCCTCACCTCGTCGATGCTGTATCGTTCCACGCTGCTCAGCGTTCCGTCGTGTTCGTTCCATCCGCCGACCGCGTACAGGTACCCTTCCATCACGGCGCAGTTCACGAAGCTCCGCCGCACCTGCCGACGAAGCCGAGCGACCTTTATATACAGGTGGCTGTTCTATACAGGTGGCTGTTCTATACAGGTGGCTGTTCTATACAGGTGACTGTTCTATAGAGGTGGCTGTTCTATAGAGGCTGCTGTTCTATACAGGTGGCTGTTATATACAGGTGGCTGTTCTATATAGGTGACTGTTCTNATAGGTGGCTGTTCTATAGAGGCAGCTGTTCTATATAGGCGGCTGTTCTATATAGGTGGATGTTCTATAGAGGTTGCTGTTCTATACAGGCGGTTGTTCTATACAGGTGACTGTTCTATACAGATGGCTATTCTATAAAGGTGGCTGTTCTGTAGAGGTGGCTGTTCTATACAGGTGACTGTTCAATAGAGGCAGCTGTTCTATACAGGTGGCTGTTCTATACAGGTGGATGTTCTATAGAGGTTGCTGTTCTATACAGGTGGCTGTTCTATAGAACAGCTGCCTCTATAGAGAACAGCCACCTGTATAGAACAGTCACCTGTATAGATCAGCCACCTGTATAGAACAGCCACCTGTATAGAACAGTCACCTGTATAGAACAGCCACCTCCGCCTGTATAGAACAGCAACCTCTATAAGTTCTATACAGGTGACTGTTCTATACAGTGACTGTTCTATACAGGTGGCTGTTCTATAGAGGTTGCTGTTATATACAAGCGGTTGTTCTATACAGGTGACTGTTCTATACAGATGGCTGTTCTATAGAGGTTGCTGTTCTATACAGGTGGCTGTTCTATATAGGTGGCTATTCTATATAGGTGGCTTTTCTATACAGGTGGCTGTTCTATACAGGTGGCTGATCTATACAGGTGACTGTTCTATACAGGTGGCTGTTCTATAGAGGTTGCTGTTCTATACAGGCGGTTGTTCTATACAGGTGACTGTTCTATACAGATGGCTGTTCTATAGAGGTTGCTGTTCTATAGAGGCAGCTGTTCTATACAGGTGGCTGTTCTATATAGGTGGAAACTGCAGTATTGCTTTCCTCCACGATTTCAATGTCAGCTAGCGTGACGTGATCGGATTCAAATTAGGATTTTTTTTTAAAGCGGACTGCGACTGAACCAGGCATACCCGCATCGGAGGTAGGTCGGTCCACTCTCTCGTCACGGGATTGTAACATTCCGCACTGTTCAGCTCGATTCCAAACTCGTTTGCTCCCCCGACGACGTAGACCAAGCCTACAAAAGCACGTCACGTCTCGTCACGCCGCGTTCCGATACTTGTAGCGGTCCCCTACACGCAGCATACTTACATCTGTATTACATGATCCAATAACTAACCTACAACTCCAGGCAGCCACAAATGCCATGGCAAGTCCATCATAAAATACATTATTAAGACGAACCTCCGGCAACGTAGCTAACCAATTTTGCCTGGGAGGCAAAGTTTTGTGCGTGGTGTGTTCTTGCAATGTGACTGCCATCGACCATGTAATCTTTCTACATTTCTATGGGGAGAGAACTGTCCCCCTTAACCACCGCCCCCCTCGCCAGCTACGGCACTGACCTCTGGTAATACGAATGTCTACACAGTCCAATTCCCCACCATGTTTTTATTAAACTATATTAAGCATTACCAGGCGGCGTTTGCTAGCTTGCCATTCTCGGCGACAACACCTCTAAGAAGCGTAACCCACGGTAACGGGGAACATGAAGGTGATGCATTCCGTCGCACACTCGGAATCCTGCCCGATTTTACCAGACCCATCGCGAAGCGCGAGCAAGGCATCTTGCCGTGCTGCTGCCACCGGTTCACGTCGGGATTGAACATTTCTATCGTGTTGCCGATTTCCGATCCGATCCAGCCTCCGAAGGCGTACAGGTTGTCGTGCACCGCGCACAAACCCAGTCCGCACCTACACAGAAACAGCCAACAACTCGTGACAGAAGTCTCTCTCTCGCGAGCGCACTCTCACTCTCTCTCCCTCGCCTCTTTCTCTCTCTCTCCCTCGCTCCTCTCTCCATCTCTCCCGCCCCTCTCTCTCTCTTTCTCCTTCTTTCCCTCCCCATCTCTCTCTCTCCTTTCCCTCCCCATCTCTCTTTCTCCTTCTTTCCCTCCCTTCTTCCCCCCTCTCTCTCTCTCTCTCTCTCCTCTCTCTCTCTCT